CAGCAGCCATCAGACCCTTCTCTTCAACCCCCTGCTGTGCAGCTGACTTTTCCCTAAGGTTGCCAATCTCCAGGTGGGACCTGGAGATCTCCCGCTGTTACAATTGATCTCCAGATGACAGAGATCAGTTCCCCTGGATAAAATGGCTGCTCTGTATATTTTTTCTACAGAATCCACCCCCCAAATCTCCAGGTATTTCCCTCCTTAGAGCTGGCAACCCTACTTTCCCCTCAGTGCTTGTTGGTAGGCAACTAAGCTTGGTCCTGTCACCTACCTTTGGCATTCGGGAGAAAACACATTGGGGCCAGTCCTGATAGGGTTGCCAACTCCAGATGGGAAATTCCTGGAGAGTTGAGGGATGGAGCCTGAAAAGGGTGAGGTTTGAGGAGGGGTGGGACCTCAGACAGGTACACTGCCATAGACTCCACCCTCCAAACCAGGCAGTCCCTCATGGGGAACAATTGTTGCCAATCTCCAGGTGAGGGCTGGAGACCACTCAGAATTACAACTGCTCTGCAGAAGGGAGGGCAGAAGTCAGCTGAAGTCAAAGGGGCAGATAATGGTAGGTTGATGGTTAGCTGGGAAGGAGATGGGGTTGCCAACTACATGCTGACAAATTCCTGGGGATTTGAGGGGTGGAGCCTGGAGAGGGTGGGGTTTGCAGAGGGGTGGGACCTCAGACAGGTAGAATGCCATAGACTACCCCCTCCAAACCAGCCACTTTGTCCTGGGTAACAATTGCTGCCAATCTCCAGGTGAGGGCTACAGATCACTCACAATTACAACTGCTCTTCAGGTAGCAGAGATCAGTTCCTCTGGAGAAAACAGTGGACTCTGTCATTATACCCTGCTGAGGTCACCACAGCAAATTGACACTGTTTGCCCAAAGCCAGAGCACTGCCCCAGAGCCTCTTTCTAGATCCCGTTGTATTTATTTCCACAACAGGCCATATTCCTAGTATGATTATATTTGGGGACATTGTATTTGTTTTGGGTTGCGGACCACCCACTCATTATAGACATTTATTTGAAATTCAAACACTTACTTAATATATCCTATACTCAGATATTTCAAGTGCATATAATCTTTGATGGCCTTCCCTTGGCATTTTTCTGCTGTTTTCTACAGTCCCCAGGTCTGGGCAGGGGTTCCCCCGGCTTTCGGGGCTTCCGCCCACCACTAGCCAGCTGGCCAGCAGAGGAAACCCTGTCCCAAAGAGCCATGTCCCTGCATGATGTCCCTGACACGATAACATCACCTGGAAGTGACGTCATTATGCTGGCAACATCGCAGGGGATGCTCTGGTTTGAGGGCAGAACTCTATGGTAAATTTGCCCTCCAACCATAGAGTTTTGCCTTCAAACCAGAGGATTGATGTGCGACATCACCAACATGATGATGTCACTTCCGGGTGACAACATCGTGTCAGGGACGCCGCGGGACATTCCCCGCCCACTCCAGGAATGCCCCCCCACCTAATGCCCCCCAACCCCCCCCCCCACAGGCGACAAAGTAGGACCTGGCAACGCTGCTATGCCCCCATCACCACTAGAACTGTCTGTTCACCTCTGCTGATGTGGCCATTGATCCCTGAAGGGGGCGGATGAATCTTAGTCTGGTGTCTCAGCTTTAACCATTCCATCTTGAGCGACTCCGCTACGAGTTTACAATCTTGACAGAGTCTAAACTCCTGATGGCATTGCTCTCAGCTTCCCTGAGGCACTCAACCCCTCTCACCACCAGGTCCTCACAGAGGTCTAGAGAGGCCCGGGACACTTCCATTTTTGCCCCCCCCCCCCCAAATTAAAAAATGAAGAAGTGTAAAAACAATGATAAAAAATTAGTAGTATTGTATTTAAAATGTTTACATTTATTACAATAAGAAAAAGAATATTGTAAGACTCTGTAATAAATGTCCCCATTTTATTTAACACGTGACTTAACATCAAAAGTGTAAATTTGAGGGGGGGGAGAATGTGAGGCCCGGGCCATATGGCCCTGCTGCCCCCCCCCCCCCGAGGCCCTGCTCGCCACATTAAGGCGTGTATCCAACAGCCACAGCCTTCATTTTGCAAGACCTGAGCGAGGCTGTTATCATTGGGGCATTTTGGAGGGCACGAGTTCATAGGGTTACCGTAAGCTGGAAGCAAATCGATGACACATGTAGGGTTACCAAGTCCTACCTTGGCTTTAGTGGGGGGAGTCCAGGACCTTGCCGGGAGTCTTCTAGCTCGTGCGCTTTGCGCCTGCGCCATGATGATGCCACCCAGAAGTGACGTCATCGCATCGGGCACGTTGGGGGCGGGGCCACATTCATTCAAGGAAAAACCATAGAGTTTTCCCTCAAATGATAGAGCGTCCCCCCGCAACGTGCCCTACGCGATGATGTCACCTCCGGGTGGCATCATCGCACCAGGCACATCTGGCACTTTGGGGGTGGGGTTCCCCCCGGTGGCCCAATCTGGGCCGGAGGGGAACGGGCCTCTCGAGCGGGGGATTCCCCTTCCTCCGGGGGGACTTGGCAACGCTAGGCACATGACACACACACACAGACGTGATACATTTCATCCAGTCGTCATTTTCCTTGTACAAGTCTTCTTTTTTCTTCATACTAGCTACATAACCGTGTTTCGTTGTACTACAGGCTAAGAGAGACCTATAGCAAGGTGCTTCCGGAGGCCACTGAAGAAGTCCTATCTGGGCTGGTTGAAACGAAGGCCGAATTTGCTTCCACCTGCTGCCTTTTGAATGCGCCTCCAGTATATTGTGGCTTGAAGGTAAGGTGTAGACACCAGTAATGGCATAGCGGAACCTGAAGTATTTTTAAGTTTAAAACAGAACATTTCTAGGCCTATCTGTGGGAATATGCAAGGTCTCTAGTGCAGCCTTGTGAAGAAGATCTGAAGATCACCCTGCAGGGGGACAGTTAGCCTAGCTAGATTAGGGACTGCCCACAATTTCAAATTATGTCCTTGCTGTCTCCTGACTGGCTCTTTTGGAGACTTCCTGCTCCTGCAGAGCTTCCTGGTTGCCATTGTTCCTCCCACAGCAGTCATCCTAGACAGTTAAGACTCCCTCTTTTCTATGTTCTATAACAGTTTGTTCTTCTTCATAAACCTACTTTTTTTTTCTCTAAGCAGCCAGTGCTCCACTTCCTTTGCATATTTAAACTCTGCCAGCACTAGCTACTTTGGAGAGCAAAAAAACCTCTGAAAATGCAAGCAGTTTGGACTAGTGCAGAATCCACACTTTTTGAGTTTGTGGGGCACATCTGGAATTCTGACACGACATGGCGAGTGCCGCAACAAAATGGCTGCCGCAGGAGGCGGAGCCAGACACAGAACAATAGGCACGGCTTAACTTCAGTCACACAATGCAACATCATTTTAAAAAGCAACATTAAAAAAAAAGTCTGCACAACCAATCAAATCTCCAGTGGTCAAGAGTCCTACCTGGCTCCTCCCACTTCCTAAAAACACTCAGCGGTTTCCGGAAAAAGTGCCAGCGTGTGCCATACAGGGGAACCCTGGACTAGTGGCTTAGAATAAAGAACTGGAAGTACCCAGAGGAGTTCAAGGGAGGGCAACCCATAACTTTTGTGTTCTGTGCAGCAGCATCTATTCTAGCATGACATTAATAATATGCAGGGGTCATATCCTGCTGGAGCGCACAGGAGCGGAGCTCCGGCAGTAAAGAACCCAGGGAGCGGGCACATGCAACAAGCCCCGCCCCCTGCTCCCAGCAGCCCTCAGTCAGAGCAAGAAGCAGCCAGGTAAGCTGCAGAGCACACACACCCCGGACCATAACAGTCCAGTGGCACCTTTAAGACCAAGTTTTATTCAGGTACAAGCTCTCCCTCCTCTGTGAGGACAGATCTGCACATTCCCCCCCTCCCTCAATAGCTAGCAATCCAAAACAGTCCAGTGGAGCCTGAGCGGTGGGTGTTGCCTTCTGACACACTTCCGGTGATGTCAGGGGTGTGTGGCATATGCAAATGAGTTATGTTAATGAGTTATGCTAATGAGCTCCTGCACCTCTTTTTCTACGAAATGACCCCTGATAATATGTAATTAATAAGTAACTTTTAATCATCCATTTCCCTTGGGGTTTTCTTTTTTGGTGAGAACTGATTGTTTTCTATTGGCTTTAATGGAATTTCGAATCTTCAGAAATCCCAGATTCTTAAAATTTGGACTCTCAAAGGCTCACCACTCCAACTTTCGAATCCGGATGCTGAACCTGAATGTTGGTGCTCGTGTGTGTTCCCTAATGGCTGGTTTTATGGTTTCACTGTGACTTTTATTGGTGGGAAGTTTGGTCCACTGGCTTACTGAGATGTCTTGTTTCTGTCTGCTGCTGTTTAAAAAAGAAAAACTAACAAACTTTTTAATGGCTGCTCTTTTTGTCATTCATTTGGCTTTTACCCTTTTAGCTTTTTCCGTCGACCGCTTTGACGACATTATGGTTGTGAGGGGAGGGGGAATGCATATATTAGGGCTGCCAAATGTTTTTTGGCCAGGAGTGGGGGGGCTCTCGGCCGGCGTCTTAGGTGCGCGCGCGCACGTAGCGCGTGCGTCACCCGGAAGTGACGTTGCATGCTGGGGGCGGGGCCACGCCATTTGAGGGGAAAACAAAGAGTTGTTTTCCCCTCAAATGGCGTGGCCCCGCTCCTAGTGTGCGACGTCACTTCCGGGTGACGCACACGTGGGGGTGGGGTTTTCCCCAGGCCCCGATTCGCTTTCGGAATTCTGACACAGCATGGTGAGGGCAGTCACAAAATGGCCGCCTTGGGAGGCAGAGCCAGCAACAAAATGGCTGCCATGGCTAACCTTCAGTCACACAGTGAAGATCCTTGTGCTGGGCTGGCAGCAGCTGCTTCCAAAGCAACGTTTCCAAGGATGTGCACAGCCAATCGAATCTCCAGTGACCAATCAGAGGCCCTGCTGGGCAATAGACCAAACTGGGCCCCCCCACTTTCTAAAAATACTTGGCAAGCACCAGGAAAGGTGTTGGCCCACAGTCGCCATGTTGGGGACTCCTGATTTAGATCAATGTTCAAAATGTTTCTTCATTTTCAGGTTAAAGCTGGAGTTTCTCACACATGTTCCCAGGACGTATGCTTGCTGCACTGAGGATTGTTTTTAAAAAAACCTCTCAGGTAAGTGGGAAATTGCACAGAATATGATTATGGAATGGCAGAATTCCCTCTGACGTTCTCTTCCCAACCTCACCATGGTTCCTCAAACATTGAGGATTAAAAAAAAAAGGAAGGTAAAGTTTTGATAGCTAAACAAAACCTCCATTGTCAGGGGTAGTATTTCCCTTTATTATTAATTTCACTGTGTAACTGTAACCCCTTTTCCTTTTCATGTCTTCGGAGCAGCCAGTGCTTGAGGCCGTCTGCGTACGTCTTATTTGACGGGAAACTCGTCACTTTCTGATACAAGCAGACCTCCGTTTCCTGATATCCTGACTCATCTTTCCTTCCTACCAACTGCAGACTGAAAATCCCAATAAAGTTATAAAAAATATTTCCCTTTGTTGGAGTTACTTCAAGATTAGGTCTGGGGTTAAGTTATAGGAGGAAACGTTTTGGTTGACAACTATTCTGACTTGGTGGAAGCCACTATCAGGGATGGGCTGTGGTGCAGTGGAACAACCTCTGCTTGGCATGCAGAAGATCCCAGGTTCAATCCCCGGCATCCCCAGTTCAAAAAGATCTGGCAGTAGGTGATGTGTAAGACCTCAGTCTGAGACCCTGGAAAGCAGCTGCCAGTCAGAGTAGACAGTACTGACCTTGATGGACCACAGTTCTGACTCAGTATAAAGCAGTTTCTTGTGTGTTCATGTGTTTTCTTTGCTAGAGATTTTCCCAAAAAGGCTGGGCAAAATCATTGTGATTTGCACAGTGGAGCCACTTATCAGGGGCGGGGGCTATTCCTCACTGGTTGTTGTTTATTGCAGTTAATAGCCTTTGTTAAAGCCACAAGTATGAAAACATACATATCTTGCTATTTGTTATGAATTAACCTTGCTAACAGGTAAAGGTAAAGGTAAAGGTTCCCTTGCTCGAAAGCCAGTCGAATCCGACTCTAGGGTTGCGGCGCTCATCTCCGTTTCAAAGCCGAAGAGCCAGCGCTGTCCGAAGACGTTTCTGTGGTCATGTGGCCGGCATGACTAAACACCAAGGCGCACGGAACGCTGTTACCTTCCCACCGAAGTGGTGCCTATTTATCTACTTGCAATTTCTTGCTTTCGAACTGCTAGGTTGGCAGGAGCTGGAACTAGAGATGGGAGCTCACCCCGTTTTGCGGCACCCGGGTCTTGAACTGCTGAACTACTGACCTTCCACAGCCTGCCACTTGAGCCACCGCAGCTCTATATCTTGCTATTTGTTATGAATTAACCTTGCTAACAAGGACCCATGAAATGGCTCGCTGTCAACTATGTGTGCTTTAGAGTTCAGTAAAAAGGTTCCCTTGCTCGAAAGCCAGTCGAGTCCGACGCTAGGGTTGCAGTGCTCATCTCCGTTTCAAAGCCGAAGAGCCAGCGCTGTCCGAAGATGTTCCCGTGGTCATGTGGCCGGCATGACTAAACACGGAATGCTGTTACCTTCCCACCAAAGTGGTACCTATTTATCTTCTTGCAATTTCTTGCTTTCGAACTGCTAGGTTGGCAGGAGCTGGAACTAGAGACAGGAGCTCACTCTGTCATGCGGCAACTCGGGTCTCGAGCTGCTGAACTACTGACCTTCCACAGCCTGCAGTTCAGCGTCTTAAGCAAAATCTGGGGTTTTTCCGCTTTCACATTTTCCTCACTTGTGTGTTCCTTTTGTTTCGGGGTGGGGGTGGGGATCTGTTCCACACATGTTTCACTCGCTTTAGTGGTCAATTCAATATTACATCAGTTTTTGTCCACCATAAAAACCTGCACTTTCAATCTGCAGGAAGGTACGCCAGACATAAAGCAATGTAATATTGAACTGACCACTAGATGGAGCAAAACACTTGCAGAATGTGGGGTGGGAATCCCTGAAGCAACAAGGACACACAAGTGAGGCAAATGGGAATGCAGAAAAGCCCATAAATAGGCAAACTTGCACCCTTACCCAAAAAGTGGGGTCAAAGTGACCCCGGGAATTAAAGTGGGGAGTAAATGAACTTTCTTTTCAGTCTTTTAAAACTACATTTTCCAGGTATTTCCCAATCTTAATGAGGTCAATTGCTTTCTGGTATTTCCTCCCTCTGTAATTTTTTGGTAAATTGCAGGATATACCTAGCCAGAGGTGCACTAATTTTTACCTCCAATTGCATTGAAATGGAAAGTGGAATTAGCATATAGATTGAAACTGACAAGATTATATCTCCATAACGTTCTGAGGTTCTCTTTGCTGACAGTAGGTTCCATTACGGGAAATACTGAATAAGAGGTTGAGGGGGGTTTCCCCCTTCTTTGCTATTGGAGGCATGCATGATGCAACCTTCATAGTCTATTTGTTTGTTTTAATTATTTCATTGACTGTCTTTGGGATCTATTTGATCCCAAGGTCAGATTTGTAAGGTGTGCTTTTTTCCCTTAGGGCACAGGCTAACTATGTGTCAGCTAGGCCTCTCTCAAAGCCCTGGCTGCCATGGGAGTGGGGTGACTCTGGAATTTTAAGTTTCTATTCTGCCTTGTCCTCTGTGTTTCTATTATCTCTGCTTGACCTTCAGTGCCTGGTGTAGTGTTTCTCCTGGGAACTGATGCCCCTTATTTCGGAGGGCTTCTACCTGACCCCTGATTGGCCCTGGTCCATCAGAGGCCCTCCTCGAATGATGTATAACTGCTTGCTTCACTCGCTCGTATTTAGTTCTAACATGAAATGGTTAAGATATCTGTGATCAATCCGCTTGCCCGCTTCTCTGTGGTGTTGGAGAACCTTTGGCTAAGAGGCCATGACCCCTATATGCAGTGGAGTGCAGGTGTGTTACATTTCCCCGACTCCAAATGCAATGCTCATATGTGGAAGAGGGAGTGGGGAGAAGAGCCCAGCGCTCTACTGGAGTGGGCATGCTTAGCTCAGGAGGAGCTCACCTCCATACCGGGTGAGTACCGAGACCTAGCCGGGGTCTTTGAGGAGACTGAGGCAGACAAAATTCCCCCCCCCCCACTGCAACTCTGACTGTGCCATAGAAATCTTGCAAGGTCACAAAATTCCCAAAGGGAAATTGTATGCTATGAGCCCAGCTGAGAAAGAGCTGTGGAAATTCATTGATAAAAAATTAACCTGTGGGTTCATCCGACCAGCCTCCTCACCATTCACAGTGCCCATCCTCTTCCGCAAAAAAAAAGGATGGTGGGTTGAGACTGTGTACAGATTATCGGGGTTTAAACGCTGTCTCTACAACTAATGCCTACCCCCTCCCCTTAATCAAGGACCTCTAAATTGAAGCCTCGAGGGGCAAAATCTTCACCAAACTGGATCTGAGGGACGCTTATTTTCATGTGAACATCCGGGAGGGGCACGAGTATAAAACTGCATTCAACATACCATTGGGGCAGTTTGAATACCTGGTTATGCCATTCAGATTGGCTGGGGCCCTGAGGGTCTTTATGAACTTGATCAATGAAGTGTTGCACAAGCACTTGTTCAAGAGGGGGTCTTAGTTTATCTTGATGATATCTTGATCTATTCACCTGATAAGACTCCTCACGTGACTTTGGTGCAGGAGGTACTGGAGACCCTATATGAACACCAGTTGTTTGCTAAACTTTCCAAATGCAAGTTCCATAAGAGTGAGGTAGATTTCCTGGGCTACCGCATCTCTGGGGAGGGGCTGGGGATGGACCGCACAAAGTTGCAGATGTGCTGAGCTGGGAGACTCCTTGCACCAGGAGGCAACTCCAATCCTTCTTAGGGTTCGCCAATTTCTACCGCTCCTTCATCTCAGCTTCACCAAAGTGAGTCTACCCCTCACAGACTTGAGAAAGACTAAGGGAAAGGGCCAAGATAGCACTAAACCAGGGGCTAAGTTAAACTGGACCCCAGAGTGTCAACAAACGTTTGATAAACTAAATGAACTATTTACCTCTGAGCCCATTCTCCATCATCCTGATGAAATTAAAATGTTTGTGATTCAAGTTGATGCATTGGACGTAGCTATGGGGAGCAATCCTGCAGAAGGGAGCTAATAGTAAGCTCCATCCCCTGGTGTATGTCTCAAAGAAATTTAATTCTACTGAAAGTAACTGAGTGGTTTGGGACAAGGAGGCAGCTGCTATCAAACTAGCCCTTACCACTTGGCGGCATTGGTTGGAGGGGGCGAGAGAGCCCTTTGAGGTCTGGACCAATCACAAAAACTCAGAAGCCTTGTTCACCCCTCATAACCTCAACGCCAAACACCTCAGGTGGGCGGAATTCTTCTCCAAGTTTCGATTCACCCTGCAGCACCTCCTCAGAAAATCAAACTTCTTAGCTGACACATTGTCACACCTCCTCCAACGTGCCAGTCAAAGGGAGGAGGTAGTAGACTCTATGTCCACACCCTCTCAGCTGGGAGGAGCAGTGGTGATGCATAGCCACGCTGCAGCAGAGAAGGGGGAGAGGAAGAGCCATGGGTGATGAACTTTAAAGAAGCCCTTACAGATGCGGACAGGGCAGAAATTGCTAAGACTCTTCCCTCCAACAGAATACGAATGGATGTTGGCATAAGGGGGGCAAACTCTATGTGCCACACGCTCTGCGGGGTGAAGTGTTGGACTAGGTGGACATTATGGTTATTTAAAGACTTTGCACCTCCTCCAATGCCAGTTCTGGTGGCCGCATATGTGTGCTGATACTTCTCAATATGTGGGGTCTTGCCAGACTTGTTTGATGGGGAAAAGGCAGCCTGGAAAACCGCCGAGGACTTTGCATCCATTAGAGACCCCTAGTCAACCCTGGGAAGTCATTTCCATGGACTTTATCAAAGGAAAAACAGTGATCTGGGTCATGGTGGATTTGTTTTCAAAGCAAGCTCACTTCATCCCGTGTAAACAGCTGCCCACTGCTAAGGCCTTGGCTAAATTGTTTGTGCACCATGTAGTGAGGTTGCATTCAGTGCCCAGCGAAATAATCTCTGACAGAGGAGCCCAGTTCGTTGCCAAGTTCTGG